TACCTGAGGAGGAAGAATCCCCAACAGCTGCACAGGAGGTGCAGCCAGAAAGAAAGACTGACCCTGAGCCTGGCCCAGCACCCCCAGTTGCAGACACTCCGAGGCCAGACTCCCCGCCTAGTTCTCCTGAGTGCCCCAGACATAGGGCATGCCAGAGGCTGACTATGCAGGAACGAAGAAGGAGTGCCAGACAGCAGCTCCTGCAAAGGCAACAGGAGGAGCTGTAAGCCTTTGCAGACTCAACTCCCAGGGAAGGGAGGACCTGTTCAAAAGCACTCCTTGTACCTGCTCCAGCATGGCAACAACTCCGCATACTCAGACCTGCTTTTGTGTGTGTAGCAGCCGCTCCTTGTCCTTGAAACCTGAAACCTTGAATTGACTTCCCGGCTATCCAACCTTTGGCTTTGTGGCTTACCTTTATTTCGGACCATGTTTCCAGTGTGGAGTCTCTGTGGCAACTAGCCAAGACAGCACAGCCAAAGCCAAAAAGGACGCTCAGCTATGGATGTGTCTGATGGTGAAAGAAACGTCCAATGCTTCAAAGAACAATACTGCATAGGAACCTGGAATGTAAGATCTATGAATCAAGGTAAGCTTGATGTGGTAAAAAATGAGATGGCAAGACTGAACACCAACATCTTGGGAATCGATGAACTAAAGTGGACGGTAATGGGCGAATTTAACTCAGAAGACCATTATATCTACTACTGTGGCCAAGAATCTCATAGAAAAAATAGTGTGGCCTTTACAGCGAACAAGTGAGTGAAAAAGGCAGGAATGGGATATAATCTCAAAAATGACAGAATGATCTTGGTCCAAATCCAAGGCAAACCATTCAACATCACAGTAATCCAAGTCTATGACCCAACCAGTGATGCAGAAGAGGTTGAAGTGGATCGTTCCATGAAGACCTACAACACCTCCTAGAACTAACACCAAAAAAAAGATGCCCTTATCATCATAGGGGACTGGAATGCCAAAGTAGGAAGTCAAAAGGTAACCGAAATAACGGACAAGTTTGGCCTTGGAGAACAAAATGAAGCTGGGCAAAGGCTAACAGAGTTTTGTCAAGAGAACACTATGGTCATAGCAAACACCCCTTCCAACAACCTCTACACAAGGACATAACCAGATGGACAAGACCAAAATCAGATTGATTAGATCATTTGCAGTCAAAGATGGAGAAGCTCTATCCAGTCAGTTAAAACAAGACCTGGAGCTGACTGGCTCAGATTATGAGCTACTCATTGCAAAATTCAGGCTTAAACTGAAGAAAGTTGGGAAAACCACTAGGCCATTCAGATTTCACCTAGATCACATCCCTTATGAATATACAGTGGAGGTGAAGAATAGGTTTAAGGGACTAGATTTGGTAGACAGAGTGCCTGAAGAACTATGGACGGAGGTTCATGACATTGTACAGGAGGCAGCAATCAGCACCAGCCCAAAGAAAAAGAAATGCAAGAAAGCAAAGTGGCTGTCTGATGAGGCTTTACAAATAGCAGAGGAAAGAAGGAAAGTGAAAGGCAAAAGTGAAAAGGAAAAATTTACCCAACTGAATGCAGATTTCCAGAGAACAGCAAGGAGAGATAAGGAGGCCTTCCTGAATGAACAATGCTAAGTAATAGAGAAAAACGAATAGAATGGGAAGGACTAGAGAACTCTTCAAGAAAATTGGAGAAATCAAGGGAATGTTTTGTGCAATGCTGGCCATGATAAAGGACAAAGACAGTAGTGACCTAACAGAAGCAGAAGAAATTAGGAAGAGATGGCAAGAATACATAGAACTATATAAGAAGAACCTCAATGTCCTTGACAACCATGATGGTGTGATCACTGGCCTCGAGCCAGACATCCTAGAGTGCAAAGTCAAATGGGCCTCAGGAAGCATTACTAACAAGAAAGCTAGCAGTCATAATACTGACTTAGATCAGTGGTCACAGATGTAGAAAAAAATGTAAACATTACTAAAGCAATTTCATATCAGGAAAATAGCTATAAAATGTTTTACAGATGGTATATCATCCCAGAGCAACTGACAAAATTTTTATTCTAATCTACCAAATGTATGTTGGAAATCTCAAAGTAGTGTAGGAGTAGGGAACTTTTACCATATGCGGTGGTTATGTGATAAAGCAAAAAAGTATTGGTGTTGGACTTATGAAATATTACAAAAAATGTTAACAAATAATGTACCCTTTGTACCAGAAATATTTTTATTGAATATTTTACCAGAAAACTGTAAAAAACATGATTCTTATCTTATTTTACATGTAATAACATCAGCGAGAATATTATATGCCAAACATTGGAGTAGTAAAGAAACACCTTCAAGAGAAGAAATGTTAAACAAATTGTTGGAAACTGGCAAAATGGATAAGTTAACTTTAATTTTGAAAGGACAACCAGAGACAACTTTTGAAAATACTTGGTCAAGACTTTACAAATGGCTTGAAGGATACAGCAAATAAAATTTACAGACTTGTAAAGCATTACAAGGACATATAAACTATAATGTCTACATATCTGCAAGACATATATAAGGTGTAATGGCTAAAATTATAATCAAATTAGGTATGAGTTTTGTTAACAAGAAATGTAAGAATACTTAGATACCCTCATTTTACGTTTTGTCTGTTTTTGCTAAAATAAAAAATTGTGTTGTTTTTTTAAAGAAAGCTAGCGGAGGTGATGGTATCCCAGCTGAGATATTCAAAGTCTTAAAAGATGATGCTGTTAAAGTGCTGCACTCAGTATGCCAGCAAATTTGGAAAACACAACAGTGGCCACAGGATTGGAAAAGGGCAGTTTGAAGAGAGGAGAGCGCAAACGTTGGTTTGAAACTCAACATCAAAAAACCTAAGATCATGGCATCCGGCCCCATCACTCCTTGGCAAATAGAAAGGGAAGTCATGAAAGCAGTGACAGAATTCACGTCCCTGGGATCCAAGATCACTGCAGATGGTGACTGCAGCCATGAAATTAAAAGACACCTGCTCCTTGAGGGGAAAGCTAAGGCAAACCTAGGCAGCATAATAAAAAGTAGAGACATCACCTTGCCAACAAAAGTCTGTTTGGTCAAAGCAATGGTATTCCCAGTAGTAATGTATGGCTGTGAGAGTTGGACCATAAGGAAGGCTGAGCACCAAAGAATAGATTGAATTATGGTGCTGGAGAGGACTCTTGAGAGTCCCTTGGACTGCAAGGAGATCAAATCAGAAGAAGGAAACGGCAAAGGATGAGATGGTTAGACAGTGTTATCGATGCAATGAACATGAAATTAAGCAATCTCCGGAGGGTGGCGGAAGACAGGAGGGCCTGGCATTATGTGGTCCATGGGGGCGTGAAGAGTTGGACTAGACTGTGTGACTAAACAAGAACAACAACAACAATATATTTACAATGGAGGGAATGCTTTGCCGTAGCCCTAGGGAAACAAATGTTTTAGGAGCAAATCTATATTATACTGCATGAATTCTATATTGCAATATGAGCATTTCTGGATCACAGTTAATATGACATTGTTTTGTTCCATTCCTACCAGGACTCTGTAGAGTCAACATAATATATCTAAAAAATTGTTACTTTATATGCATATTCTTTTGTACTACTGATCTATTCAATGTACTTTCTGCTTCCATAGTGAAAAGAATCTTGATTTCTGGCATGCTGATTCGTTAACTCCCTGTTTAAACTGCCTCTCTCAAAATGCAAAAGTATTTACAAATCAATTTTCTTTGTTTTTAATATTTATTATAAGGCAATCATTAATCTCTCTATATAATAATTCTGTTTTGGTAGTGGCAGTCTCCTGAACATTCCACATGCTCCCAAATCAGTTGGCTCCCTGATCTGTCACTCAGAAGCTGTCCCTATCAACTGGCTGCGTTGCCTGAGTCTTGCCTCCAATATTCTAAACAGTTTGCTGTTCCTCTCCCCCCAATAGCCAGTCGGAACACAGAGGTCATTTGCATATGTACCAATAGGTTAAAAAGATCTATTTTTGAGCTTTTCAGATCGTGATTTGTATTAGTCTTTACCCTATCCCCATATCCAGTAGGAGATTTAGAATAGAATGGTAGCTTTCCTTCCCCTATCCAGTAGATGATGGCTGCGGTCACACGGGCGGGAAACTGCGGGGAGGGAGCGTGGCTATTTGCACCGGGGCAACATACCTCGCGGCAGCGGGATCAGACATCCCGGCGAGGTTTCGGCGAGGTCCCGTGGATTAGGTGGAGGTGCTGATCACACAAGCATCCGCACCTCCAGCAAGAGCCGATGGGAAGGGGACAGAAGGAGCTGCCCCCTCTGGGAGGGCCGTGCACAGCCCACCCTGGGCAGGGTCCATGAGCCGCTTGCAAGGAGGGGAGGGAAGGGGGAAGTAACCCGCCAGGTCCCCCCTCCCCACCAGCATCCCGCCTGCCCTCCCTTCCTCCCCCCGGGACACGCGGCCCTCTCTGCCTGGCCGCCGCCGCACACCCCCATCGCAGCCCCCCCGTGGCCCTCCCTCGTCCCTAACGATGCCGGGCGCCTTTGTGCGCATGCGCTGTTGAGCGCTTCGGGGGCATGGGGGGGAACTACCCGGCGGGCGCCGGATGCCACGGAAGCCCAGCAGGGACGCGATCAGGCGTGCACCCTTGCTGCGCTGTTCCCGGAAACTAGTACCTCGGAGGTACTAGTTTTTTACTGCGCTTCTTCCGACGGTCACCACGGATCAGCCACAGGAGCTCTACGCTCCCCAGATGTTGCGGTGAGATTGCGCTCGGAAACTCCATTACTCTTCCATCTCTCTTGCGTGCCTAATGCTCCATGTGACCGCGGCCTATATGTATCTAGATCTCCCTAAACCATTTCCCATAGTAATAGTGATAGGGCATTAGTATTCCTTTCCCCATTCCATATATGTAGTGTGTAGTAAATGCAAAAATAAAAAAAAATCCCCCTTTGGGGGGTCAAAAAATAGTGTGTGTGCACTATCCTTGTATCCAAGCATAACTTACTTTGTCAGGGAAGTCCATCTTCAGCTCTGTGATACTTTTACACCAATAGGCTGCTGTTTTCTCACTGATGAGCTCAATGTTCAGAAAAGAACCTTGGCCTGGTCCATAAATAGGACCTGAGGTAGTTCCACGTATTATTCTTGGAGAAACATTGGTTACAATGTCCTGTTAAAAAAAGAAAAGATTTTAGATTTTTTTTTTAAATGCAGATACATAAAAATGAATGCTGCAACAAGAGGAATGGAAAGGGAAGTCACATGTATCCATTAATGTTTCAGTGAAAACCTAAATATATCATACGTAGATATGTGCCAGAGACAGAGAATACATTTTACAGAACATTTGACACAGAATGATAAGAGACATAATTGCTCATGCCATGTACTAGGGCTGCCAACTCTGGGTTGGAAATTCCTGAAGATATAGGGGTGGAGCCTGGGGAAGGTGGGATTTGGGGAGGAACCTCAGCAGGGTATAACACCATACAGTTCATCCTCCAAAGCCACCATTTTCTCCAGGGGAACTGATCTGCATAGTGTGAGGATCACATCTAATTCTGGGAGATTATCAGGCCCCACCTAGAGGGTGGCAACCCTACCATATACAATCACCACCTTTTCACTTCTGGGAAACAGCTGCTGCAAGTTTTCACGGCATTTTAAAAATTAACAAAACCTATCTGACCAATGCAGGACTGAGGCAAAAATGATCCATGCACATCAAAGGAAGTAAAGTAACCATCGTCCACATTCTTACTGACTGACTCCAGCCATAGGCCACAGGAGTAAAAACAGCAGGAGGTCCTGCAAAAAGTCCTTTTGTGGTATAAGCAAACAGATTCATTTCCTACATTTTGTAATTCTGGGGAGAAAGATATAAATGTTAATTCCGATATGCCATTAAAAGATATGCTGTTGGCTGAGGTCATCCAGAGATTTGGGTAGGGTTGTCTCCAATATGTAGAGGACACTCGACTTCTGACTGACCCTGGTGAGGATGTAGAAACCATGAACTGGTGCCTGGAGGCAGTTTTGGAGTGGCAGGCTAATAAGCTGAAGCTTGATTCTCGAAGGATGGACGTGCCACCCTTTAGCTCAAGGTCTGACCTGTGATTTAAGGTGTCACCTGTTCTGGATAGGGTTGCACTTCCCTTGAAGGAACAGTTTATTTATTTATTTATTTATCATATTTATACCCCGCCCATCCCACGAACGGCTCAGGGCGGCTAACAAAGTGGTACCATGTACCTAATAATATACCATAAAATCTTTAAAACTCTATAAAATCACATAGTCTAGGGGTACTCTTGGACCCAGACCGAGACCTAATGATAGATAAGCAGTGGCAGCTGTGGCCAGGAGCACCTTGTACCAGCTTTGACTCATTACCCAGCTGCAGCCTTTCCTGAGCAGAAAAGATCAATGGCCACTGTGGTACATGCTCTGCAGGGATGTCCTTGAAAAGTGTTCGGAAACTTCAGTTGGTGTTGAATACTACAGCCAGGATTCTAACTGGAGTGGGTTGCAGTGACCATATCACTGCAGCCTTGGCCTGTCCTACACTGGTTCACTATCCATTTCTGGACACAATTCAAGGCGCTGGTGTTGACCTTCAGTGATAACCAAAAAAATGTCTATTGATAAAGAAATGTGATAATTAATGACAAATACACAATTGTGTACTTTTACACAAGAGATTTAAAAATGTATGCAGATGGGAGCAAAGTAGGCCTGCCAGGTTCCCAGTTGGGGAGGAGGATCCCCCGCTCTTGCAGGCTCCAGCCTGATGCTGGCCAACTGGCTGGTGGGGGAAATCCCACTTTCAAAAAGACATCCCTGAGCAATGTCAGCAATGTGATAATGTCACTTCTGGAAGTGATGTCATCACATTGGTGATGATGCTCTACTTTTGGGCAAAACTCTATGGTTTGTAGTAGTTTTTACCATAGACTTTTGCCTCAAAAGTAGAGTGTTGCCCTGACTTCACCAACATGATGATGTCACTTCCGGAAGTGATGTCTGTGTGTCACCGATGTCCCCGCCCACCCCTGGAACAACCCCCCCCCAAATCCCTCCACCAGCAGGAGGAAGGCACCTGGTAACCCTAGAACAAAGGAGGTTGGAAATAGAAAAGGCCATATTCATATAGGCCACAGAATTGTGCAATTAACCCAAAGTATTCCATTATACAATGGTGGCAACTGCAGAAGCAAATATGCTTTGACCCACATGAACCAAGATTACACCCAGCAGAAATAATGATAGGTAGATATGCCTCTTAATGATGATCCAGCCATCATAAATTAAGCATCACCAGTTCATAATACCTTAAATACAATGATCTGCAATGGAAGCTGAATTAAGTTCAAAGTCCTCAACTGATTAGTACTGAGTGATGAATGTGGGCACATATGTAAAGGAATGTAAAGGAAAATTTGCTTCTTGTTATGTGTTATGTTTAAAATAGTTACTGTTGGAGAAAAATGGTCCTGACCAGTTTCAGACAGAGAGATGACACGGTCAGCCTATAAAATAGAAACCAAAAGAGAATCTCTTGAGTGTTTTGAGAACTGAAAGAAAAAAGATTTGAGAACTGAAACTGAGGGATATCCTCCCTAATGGTGAAGATCTAAGGATGAGTACAAAATCTGAGTTATATAAACAAGATGACTCAGAAAATGACTAGTAAGGAGAACAACCCACAATAAGGACAAGTCAGAGCACCAAAGAAAAGAACTGCAGAGAAACCTTAGTAGAAAACTTGGCTAATTGAAGAACTGCAAGGAGTTCACCTGAGCAAGGAACCAGGTTGGTCAAAAGGAAATCACTTATTGGCCAGGATAGGGCTGCCAAGCCCCACCCCCAAGCTCCTGTTTCCTGTCACCACTTGAAACAGTAGGGGGAGAAAAAGTACAAGAAAATGCCCATCAGGCTGACAGCATGACATTACTTCTGGGGGGAAACCTGGAGTCTGTTCTCTCCAGGAATAGCTGGAAACTCCATAGGTTTTCCCTGGAAATCATGTCACACTGTTGCCAATGGTGCTCCTCATGTCCCCATCACTCTAGTCTCCTGCTTGTTGCCAGGTTGTGCCTGACAACCCTATAGGGTTGCCAATCTCCCTGTAGTGGCTGGAGATCTCCCACTATTACAACTATTACAGCTATCAGTTCACCTGGAGAAAATGGCTAATCTTGAAGGTAAAATCTATAGCATTATACCCTGTTGAAGCACCCCTCCTCCCCAAGCCTCGTTCTTTTAGGCTCCACCTCCTAAATCTCCAGTTATTTTCTAACCTGGGGCTGGCAGCCCTCCAACCCTAGATAAAAAACAACAACAACTGTTCGATTAGGTTTAGCTGGATACATTTTTCTTTATTCTTTTTGTTCAACATATGCTGTTATGGTTTTTGTGCATGTTGTTTAACTCCCCCTCCCCCATATACATTACTGCATATGCATCCCGGTTTCTGAAACTTGTTATAGAGACGGTAAAAGCTTTTCCACTCTATCAGGTAATGGTGACGTTGAATGGGTTCTATAAGAAAACTATACATATTTCAGTTTAAAAAGCTGTTTGGTGAAATCAGTCAAGGAGAAAAAAAGACTTCCATCTGGTGGCAGTGTTAAAGGCCAATGCACAGGAAGTATCAAAACAGTTTTAACTAAGAAGCTGTCATGGCTTGCCTTCACATCCTCTCATGTTTTAGGCAACCTCCCAGAATGTGGGAGCATGAACCAACCCAGAGTTAACTTCAACTGCAGATGTGCCCTTCACATTCAAATGACAAAGGGGTTGAATCCATTCTCTCACTGCATCATTCTTCCACTCAAAATGGGAATGGGGAAAAAAACAAGCCTTATAATCAGGGAACTATATGTAAAGTGTAGCTTCACTTTTCGATGTCATAACTGAAAAGTAAAATGAGGGTTTAATTTGCAATGTGGCTTAAAAGATCTGTTCTCTAGGACATGTTTTAATTACAGAAGTTCAGTATGGAAAATGCCAGGATCCCTGAAGACTTTCAGGAGGCATCTGATCCCCCCCCATCTTTCCCTCCCCTAATAGCCTCCATAGCTTCTCCCATTTCCCTGCTTTCTTTGGTCCCTCCCACCAACAAACCTACCTAATTGTATCTGTCCCCATTCTGCTCTCCCTCCTTTCCTGCCATGGCAGCTTCTCTCCTTTTCTTTTCTGTCACTCACTTTTTCCCACTTCAACCTCTTTTCATTCTCTCTCCTTTCCCTCCTTCCTTCACTCCCTTTTGTCTTTCACCTTTTCAATTTCCCCTTTCCCAGCTTTGGCTGACAGTGCTCAGATGGCTTAGCAGTACTGTCATGGTTGTCTAGCAACCCCCCCCCCCCTGAACAGTACGCAGACGGACGAGTGATTTCAGACAACCCTAGCCGGCTCGCAGGCCAGCTTATATCCCCGTAAATCCACCACAAAGAACACCCCCCACTTCCCAATAGGTCCTAACTAGTGGCCAAGAGTCCCATAGGTTCTCAGCCCGGAGCCTAGCCCCATGGTTGGTGCGGACTAGGATCCACATCGTCCTTTGTTTATCGGAGCGAAGCTCGACGCTTGTTCCTGACCACGTGGTGCCCAAGCTGACCACGCGGTCGGAGCTTTATACATTACACCCCCCGAATAAAAAATCGCCACTGAGATATCAGCTTGTAGTTTCAGTGGGTAGTCATCTCTCAAAGCTACAAATTTACTTCTATTGGGGGGGGTAACTCCTCATTTTTTCTTTTTCTTTATGATTTCAGATTTTTCTGCAAACCTGGGGCTTCCCTTGCCCCACTGTGTGGAATTTTTTTTTATCCACTCTCTAGACACTGATTCAGAATTAGATACAAGTGGAGACCCACAAGAAACTTGCGGGATTGTTATCCCATTCCTCACACCTTTGCTTCCTTCCCTCTCTCCCTACATCTCTCATACTCTTTCTCCCTTCTGTCCCCCTTTCTCTTACTCTCTATTTGTCTTCCATGCATATTACTTCCTCTGTCTTTTTGTCCCCTCATCATTCCCTTGGTTTTTCTGCCTCCCCACCTCATCACTCTTTTTCTCTTTCTGCCCCATCACTCTCCCAGCCTCCTGCCTGCTTCCTCCCCCACCTCGCACAGCAGCAGCAGTAGCAGCAATGGTGGTGGTGCTCCC